TCCCTTCCATTCAAATTCTACAGATTTTTCAATCGTGTTCTTTTAACCGAACATCAAACGGTCATGAATTAATAATCTTTCTTTGGCTTTTTCATGTGCATCTTCTTGAACCCAGATCCTCTTCGGATCTCCAAAAACTAAGCCTAATGATCAAATGATCCGGACCGTTAAAATTTGATCTAACGGCTACAAATAGGGGGTCCCTCTAAAAGTTATAATAATTGTAGCTGTTTGATCAAATTTCAATAGTCCGGATCATTTGATCCTTAGGCTCAGTTTTTTAGGATCCAAAGAGGATATGGGTTCCATCTTCTTCCCCCTTCTCATTCTCTCTTTCCAACTCTTTTCTCTTTCTATATGGGAGGCACTGACGGATCCATTAAGGGGCAAGGGGGGTCAGCTGATCCCCCGAACTTCGATGAACGTCCATAGACACCTTAAGTGCTAACCCTCCAAACTTGGGTGAATGTCCATGGATACCTTGAGTCCGACTTCAGGCCTACCAAAACCTGATAAATGTCCATGAATACCTTGGGTGTTGCCCCTTGCTTACATTAACATGTCTGTAGTATGCATTTTCAAATGACTTCAGGCCTACCAATACTCGATGAAATGATAATATGCATGTTATTTATAGTATAAAAAAAATTTCGAGCTGCGCGCGCTATTCTTACTGACCCCCCTAATATTATTTCCTGGATCCGCCATTGATAGGAGGATTTGGTTCCAGTTTTGGGCAATTGGAGCCCGAAAGATGATGGTTTGGACGTGGTAGGTTGGCACCCATAACAAGTACTCATCGAAGAACGCATAGAATTGAGATCTGGATGGAAGGGATCCTGAGAGAATTCCGACTCTAATTTAGGGAGTTGGAAATAATTAAAATGGAATGTTATTTAATAATTTTGGAAAGAAAGGAAAGAAGTTGACAAATTTGGCCTTTGTCTCGTATTGTATTATTGTTCAATTTGATTTCTGTAGTACAAACACACACCTGAATAAAAGTCTTTCAATTTCATTCCTACGTTAATGTGAATATTGTACTATCATTCAATTTATTTTATTCTAACCATTTGGTCCCACATAATTTGATTTGCAAGGGAATTCAGACTCAGGCGCAAATAGGTTGACATTCAAAACCCGGGGACATTTAACTTTGTTGTAAAACTTATAGTTCAAGCAAATGCTTGTTTTTGATATTTTCCCCGTTGATGACGGAAATGGAGATATGCTCTCTCAATCTCTCATCACTGATTCACCACATGCCAAGCGTCTATTATATTAGACGAGTGACATTAACGTAACTATGTCTTGGCTACAACAGAGAATTTAGCGTCGAGATGGTTCATGAACACGTATAGACAACTTTGTGCAGTTTGCAAACACAATCGGTTTCCAATGTAAATTGCCATTACCATTGCCACATTTAGTAATGTTACAAGTGGTACAAGAGCCATAATTCCGGCACTACCCATAGCCTTTTATGCCATAACACTTCTAGCAGTCAAAAAATTTCATCTACCAAATGTCGAAACAAAAAACCAATTGAACCTATAAGCTGCAGAGGGCTTTCATCCAGGCAGAAAAGACTCGAAAAAGGGTGGTTGATTCTTCAAAATGCAGTGTACCTTTTGATCCATGATTTCTTTCCGAAATTTTTCGATGAATGAAGCACGTATGATTTGCACAATCCATCCAGGTCAGAGTTGGCATGATCAAGCTCGAGATTACACGTGGTAGCTCCATATCTTCCCTGGTTTGTTGTATTTTTCCAATGGAGGATCCAATGTAAATGGACTTGGAATCACCCTGTAAACTTGGCGATTACCAAACTAACTGCCATAAAAACAACATAGAGACCAACAAGACAGAATCCCCAGAACCTAGGCACCCGAAATCTGCACCATGTAATCACCAATAGAGACCCCATCAGGCTCAGAAGCAAGAAAACAAATGCAATCACTATACCCACGTGGAACTGAAGCTCGTATGCCTCGGGATAGACATCATACGTCTGTATAACCAAGGCAGTTCCAAGTCCAATGAGCATGTTAAACATTGGCCCAGCAAAACATCCAGCCATGGCCATTGCAGGGTGGCCAGCCTTGGCAACTGCAACATCAGCAACAAGATCCCCAACTGAATTTCCCCATGCAAGAACTGTGAGCCCAAGAAGTGCAGGTGGCAACTCCAGAAGTGTTCCGAGTGCAGCGAGGCAGTTCAGCAATTCACCAGCAGTTGTAGATATCCAAAAGACACTCATAACAAATGCTATAAGCAATACAGGCAGTTGCTCGGTTTTGGGGGGGTCTTTTTCTACTGCATAATGAAGAAGTGCGAGAGAGGAGCTTGCCAAGAGGATTACAAGCCATAGGGGCAAATGGGTGTTTGAAAGGAGAAAAACAACGGGGTGATTAAATGGCATGAATGAGTTGCAAGCATATAGCAGCGCGAGAGGGCAAAGAGCAATATTGGCTGACATGTAGAATCTGCTCCATTCGGAAGGTGAAGCTTGGGGAATTGTGAGCTTCAAAAGAAATGAGACGGGAAGCTCCCATGCTCTCGAGATCTGTATAAGAAATAAAGAGACTTAACTAGTGCAAATTTCCAAAGCAGAAAGTTAGCCAACAAAATTGTACACAGGAAAAGCAAGCTCAATCAGAAATTTAGAATATAAATTTCATGCTTTTTGGGTTTTTCCCAGTTCAAGATTTAAAAGAGATTTCATAAGGAAATATACAGCTTATGCCAAGACACAGTGAAACTCTGCACATGCTTCTACAATTAATATCACACGTCAAGAATTCTCTTGTCCAAGTTATCCTCGCTCAAAGAATAAGCTCTTCTACTTCTGTGCATCGACATTGATATATATACGTGATATCCAACTCTCGAAGATCTCCACTTCTCACCAATGTCATCCATTTCATATGCCCAAAGTTTTAATCTCAAGGATTTTAGGCACACCTACAACTTAGCCATATTCCTCTACTGAGACAATGAGAAGCTACATCTGACCAGGGCCTTGAGATCGGATTTATCATCGACTATATCAAAGGTTCATTAAATCCTATAGACCTCCTGATGAAGCATACAGAGAAAAAAAATGATTCCTAGCAAACTCAAAACTAAATTAAATGGCAAGCCTATACAGTCCAAATTTTAATTTCGTTTCTCAATTATTATATGCTTCTATAAAGTGAATCCATAAGAAGTTCGAAACTTTCACCTACGTTCAGCTACCGAAACTGTTTGTTCCAATGTGAGAAATACTCAAGAAGGAAACCATAACTAGCACATAGAAATTCGAAGTGCAGAGCTAATTAACAAGCTGCATTGATTTCATTCAACACAACCTATATTCCTCCATCAAGTAAATTTTCTCAGAGCATTACGTTACTAACCAATCAACAAGCGGAGTGTTTTATCTAATTCTCGAAACCTTTAACAACCATTGCCACTAATACTAGAAGTTTAACAACTATCCATCAGAGCATTGCATTGAATGAAAACCAAACATAGAAACAGATAAATTGCATACAACACACAATGTACCCAAACTTTAGCGGAACAAGCACAAAAAAGAACGCAAATTTATCCGAAAACATACCATTCCAAGAGCTCTCCCAAATCCAAAACTCCCCTTCCTATCCTCTGAACTCTTCAAAACATGTCCGATCCTGGAATCTGGTGCAACCAAACCCCTCTGAATTTCAATGTCTCCGACCGATCCCGCCTCAACTCTGCTCTCCTTTCCTCCTCCTCCCATTCCCAAATCCATCCAAAACACCAACCCAACAAAAAATAAGTAAAACCCAACAAACCCGACCGCTTGCCACAGATAAATCTCGGCGCTCAGATACACATAGAACAAGAACAGCGCCGCCGTCAGATAAAACATCACGTCCCTCACAAACGGCGCCGGCTTGAGCGGAAAGGGCGCGGCGTAAATCGCCACAAACCCCACCACGAACGCCGACACGAAAGTGCCGGCGGACAGAATCGCGCCGAACCCGGTTCGGTACTGCCCCGTCCGGACCGCCGCGACCGAGGCAAAGACGTCAGGGGCGCCGTTTCCGAGCGCGAGGAGGGTGACGGCGGCCATGCTGGGGGTCAAATCGAGGGCAAAAACGAGCTTGGTGGTGACGAGAGAGAAGTGATCCTGCGCTGTTTTGATGAGGATGTAGAAGAGGAGGAGGAGGATAAGAGAGAGGGAGGAGAGAGAGAGAAATGGGTTTTGGCGGAAGAGGCAGAAGTGGAGGTAGAGGTAGTTAAAGAGGCCATCGGAGTGGGTTACGGCGGCGGAGGAGCAAGATGGGGTTTTTGCTGCGGTGGCGATGAGGGACCTGTGGAACGTTATGGGAGATGGGTTAGGGTAGTTTGGGGAATTGGGAGTTGGGGTTGTGAGGAGGAAGAAGAGGAAGAAGGAGAGGAGAGAGAGTGAGAGAATGCAGGTTTTGAAAGAGGAGGAGAGAGAGATGGCCATGCCATTTAGCAAGCAAAAAGCTCCAATCTTTCTGTCAAGTTTTCAGAGAGAGGGTGTGTGTTTGTCCCTGTGATTTCAGAATTCGGATCCGACTTTTGTCCATTTGCCTTGGTGTGACGCAGTTCACTGAATTGAATAGAATTATGAGCACTCTTGGTTTTGAGTTTCTATTCAAAATTCTTCGGTTCTGATTTATAGAATTTTATAGTTAATTCAAAACGGTTCGTATTATAAATCACTATGTAATATCATTTTTAAAAAATAAATTGAAATTAAAGTCAATAGATAGACGGTTTGTAAAACTTTTAATTTCTGTCCATCTGTTCTTATACAATTTGATGACTAAACAACTTTAGTTTTTTAATTGATTTTTAGCCGACATTCTTTATAAAGTGATTTATAATATAAACAATTCTAATCATAAACACAAAAAACGAAGAATTTTGAGCAGGAGATGTAGCCAAGTATTTGTTCTCGAAAAATAATAATTTAATGGAAAAGATGTAGCCAAGTATTGGGTGAAACGGTAACCTTCTTTCTGTTTGATATGGGTAATTTTGATCATTTGATAGGTGGCAAATGGTTTGTGGGGGGAGAGAGAGAGAGAGAGAGAGAGAGAGAGAGAAACAAGGCTACCAAATTGAATATACACAAGCTCATCTTCGTCTAATTTACACGACCAAAGACCACAAGGCGAGAGAGAGAGAGAAACAAGGCTACCAAATTGAATATACACAAGCTCATCTTCGTCTAATTTACACGACCAAAGACCACAAGGCAAGAGTTTCCTAGGATCTACTGGCGGAGTTTTCTGAATAACCATTTCTGTCGGGCTGTTACATCCATCGCCACAAACATCTTCGCCTTGCTCTCGTCTTCTAGAATCTGAGAAGCTTCCAAGAAGAGCTCATCATTCATGTCAGGTACCGTTTCAAGCGCATCAACAATGCGTTCTATCGAGCAGCAGTCTTTGTCCTCTTCATTGCCGACGAACCCGTTTACTCTCTGTGGTTTCTCATCTAAGGCTTCTTGTACCTCCTCCTTGATGGTTCTTTGAACTCTCTTACTGGCCGAGGTGGATGAAGCTGTTGGTTTTCGCTTCTTTCGCTGAATCGATGTTTCATAGTCCATGGTTCGGGATTGCAAGCCACCAAAGGTCATATCAAATCCCGTTTTCCCCATTTCCGTACTCAAATAACTTGATCTTCCATCAGCGACTCCATTGCCATATATCATAGTCGAATCATTGTAGTCCAAGATACTATTTCCATATGCAGGTTGATACGGGTGATCCTGAAAACATAAAACATTGACATGAAAGATACACACGTTAATAACGTCACCCGAAGCTACTCATGAATCATTCAACACTCAAAACACTCGCACATACAAAACATGCGCATGCACCATACTGCTCCTCCATGAAATGTTGAGGAGGTGTAATTAGTACTAGAAATTTAGAATAGGGAAACTCCTTTTGTCCGAGGCAGCAGTTAGCGAGAAAAACAAGCACCTTGACATAAGCATCCCAGACATCATCAACTTCTGCGAATATTGTTTGCTGAGTTTCATCCCCTGCAAAATGGTTGCTATTGAGAAAATTCTGATATACTCTTGCATCAAGATGAGAAACTGATTTTTCAGAAAATCTGTCACAACAATGTCCAAATTTTTACTGAATGACACAATCATCCAGGCCCAAGGTTTTCATTGAATGTAAAACCAGTTTTATTGATAGAGAGCAGGGGCCACGTACCAACATTAACTCTCGGATCATCATCCTCGGCATCCATAGAGTGATTAGATGAACCCTCCCTTTTAAGACTGTCTTCATTTCCATATATCAAGCACAAATCATTGAAATTTGGTAGGGTTCTATTGCGGTATGATCGTGCATCAGGGCGCACCTGCACAAGTACATGTGAGCTGCTAGCCTGTTATAGACCTACAATTCTTTTCAATCAACAAATCAATCAAAGACGAACCTTGACATGAGCATCCCAAAGATCACCATCAGCAGTTATCCTCTGCTGCATTTCATCCCAAGTAAACCCACTCTGGTCAAGTAGAGTTTTCATGTCATTGAATCGTTTCCTCAAATTCACAAAACGACTTTTTAAGACATCTTTGTCATGCTGGGAACCAAACTGTGCTCTGAACTTAGAAACCATATCAGTCCAGGCTAGTTTACTGAATTTTTGGTTAACCATACTTCCGTTGCGAACTTGCTCTAACATTAGATCAATGAAATATCGGTCCATTGGAGGTGTCCAATCAGTTCTCCGGTGATAGCTATGGTTATAATTGGCTGGTTTTGAAATGAACAGCAATACATGTATAAGGAAAAGGTTCATATTTCTGATTCATCAAAATATATTAAAAGAATTCTTGGTTAATGAAAGACAAAGCAAACACAAACTGACCATCACCGTTACAGCCCACGGCTTGACCTGATTGGTTGTATCTTTCCCCCGAATTTGAGTTTCCATAAATCAAGCACAAATCATTATAATTTGGCGTGGATTTCGTTCTGTACGCTTCCGTATCAGGGCGTTCCTACAGAAACTATATGTTAGCCTTCGTAGAAAATAATGATTAAGACTCAAACAGATAGGTTATGCACCTTAATATAGGCATCCCAAACATCATCATATGCTGTGACCATTTGCTGTGTTTCGTCCCACCAAAACCCTCTCCGATCCAGAAGATCTTTTGTATCGTGGTATTGCTTCTCTAAACTTTTGTAGCGACTCCTCAAGAGATCTTTGTTGTATTCTAAACCAAATCTTTCCTTGAATAACACAAGCACATCTACCCACGCTTGGTCGTCCAAAGAGTAATCAATCTTGTTTGCTTTCTGCAGTTGCTCCAGAAGAAGGTCAATCAGATAACGATCCATTGGAGGTGTCCAATCTTTCCTTGAAAAAATGTCATTTCCATGGCTCTGAATGTCTTCTCCGTCTATCCACCAAAATGTTGCAATTAAATGCACTTGCAATTACATTTTAACAGATGATTGCAAACATGCATAAATAATTCACAGGTTGTAAACCCACTCTAGACAATTTTGAATTCAGAGTTATATGGTATGGATTTAGGAGACCTGAATATGGAAAATGAATATGAAAAATTAGAGAAACATTTATGATGGAAAATTGGAATCCTCAACCGATAAGAATTATAGCAAAAAAAGAGGTCACATAGCAAGATGAATAGTCTGCACGGAAACAAGGCTCTCCAAAAATACGTCATCGTGGTGGAATGATTATTTACTATTAAGGAAAGAAAGTACAGCCTAAATGGTACTGGTTAATGAAACACAAGAGGCGCCTATTATCAGACTAGCTCGAGCTGTTTAAGGACGCATTTCTACTCGTTTTACTCCCTGCAAATATCATAACTTTAGATTTTACTCGTCATACGGTTCAGCACAGATTATTCTAACATTCAGTGTTGAACAAGAAAGGCACCTGTCATAAAATCTAAACCTTCACTGTCAAGATCCTCGAAGGAAGCCAAATGACCATTACCAGAAAAAGAAAATTGGCCCTCCCTTTCTTCTTCATCTACATGATTAATAGAACCCATTAGTAGACATAACTGTTGAATAATTCATTCATTTAACACAGCTTTCAACATGATTTTTTTTCCTGAGTAATATGTGCGAATATACACTCTTTACAACTTCAACACATTACTTCTTAAACACAGTTTACACTCTTATGTGTGTTTCATTCAGTAAAAATCACGGTCAATTATTACTTTTTCCATACGAAGACAAAATGATATTGCTACTTTTTTCTTTTTCGGTTAAACAACCAGCGTTGCAAGTTTTACAGAAACTAAACCATTATATAACCGAAATTCTTAATTCTCTCCAGTCCTCCACTGTAAGATTCATCTCCAGAATTTGTACCTTGATCCAAATGATTAAGGAGTCCATTGCTAATTTCACTGGCATATATCGAGTTCAAATCCTGATAGTTCAGCAAGGGCTTCTTCCTATATACACGTGCATCTGGAAGTGCCTACATCAGCGACAAGTGTAAAAAATCATACAACTGGAAGTGCCTACATCAGCAACAAGACGTGTAAAAATGTATACAACTGGATGCTATTAAATAGAAGACACAATACCTGGATACAATTTCCCCAAACATCATCATCAGCCACAATCATTTGTCGATTTTCGTCCCAATAAAATCCATTTCTGGCAAGTATGCTTCTAACATCAGTATAGTACTTCAACAGTTTCTTATGAAGCTGTTTCAAGAACCTTGTTTGATATTGAGAACCAAACTTTTTTTTGAACAACGTGACCATGCCTTTCCAAGCTTGTTTTGTGAACGTATTATTCATTTTACGGCCTTTTTCAAGTTGGTCCAGCATAAGATTCAGAAAAAATTCGTCCATGGCTGGTTTCCAATCTGCATTTCTTTTCACTTTACTTGCAGGGGTAGGGCTAATCATTCCAGCACCTTTAAACCATAAAAACAAAATAAATAAGCAAATAAAAAAAGTCCCGCAGAGAACAGATTGTAGGATCAAGATTCTTGTAGCTTACCCCAAACAATTGAGAAAAGGCCTTGTTGAAAATTGGAACAAGAAAAAAGATTTTTTTTTTTTGGTACAGTAAGTAAAAGAAAATTTTACTTATCAAGAACAGATAATGCTCGTGAATGTGGAATACTAAGACAGAAGGGCTTTTTTCTTTAACTCACCTAAAGTTACTACTAGAGAGGATAGAGTTCCATCTATCTTCTGATTATTCATAAAGCATTTACTTTTGGGTATTTTGTATGACCCTGATTTATGATTACTCTCTGTAATAAAATGATATGACTTAAATGCCAAACATAAGTACTGACTGCACTTTACCAAACCATTACAAACTAAAACTATAATAATAAATTTCAGTGCGTATGAAAAAATGTATCAATCCTGTACGTCGTTAAAGGATTTAGAGACACACCATCAATCATCCCCTGAATTTCGTCATCAAAATCTATATCATGACTTGAAAGGCTGTATCTTCCATCTGCTTGCGTATGTGCATATATCAAACACAAATCATTGAAGGTCATCAGAGCTTTGTTTCTGTAGACCTGAGCATCTGGGTGAACCTGCATGGACATTATTTTAATTAAATTTTTCCACAATTGGACAAAATTCAGAAGTACAATAAAGTAAGCAGCGCACCTTGACATAGGCGTCCCAAGCATATTTATCTGCAATCACCATTTGCCGAGTGTTATCCCACGAAAATCCATTCTGATCAAGAAGGTTCTTTATGTCGTTGAATTGCCTCCACAGACTAGTGTAATGACTTTTCAAGGTATTCATATCATATGGAGTCCCGAAATTGCCATTAAACATCATCAACATGTCATTCCAAGCTTGTTTGTTGAATGTATGGCCCAATCTATTGCCCCTATGAACCTGATCTAACATAAGATCAATAAAATAACGTTCCATTGCTGGGGTCCAACTTGTCCTTAACCGATCACCACTTGTCAGGTTTTGGTTGCTCATTTCCTCCCTACAAAATGACATTTCATCATAACCATAAAAAACCATCCCCCATCCCCAATCCCTCTTCGGTGAATTACACTAATTTCAATAGTTTGGCAGTTCTGGTAGAAGTAATTTGTTTATTTACAAAATAACTTCAAGAGTTCTATCCAAGGGAAATGATTTCCGCAACTCCCTTTTTCCCTCCCCGCACTCCTTTGAATTGTTTAAGGGGAGTGCGGAAATCATTTCTCTATCCAAAATTCGATGAAAATAACCACATCATGATATTCAAACCCAAATAAGAGATCAAAATGAAGCATTTAATGCATTAAGCTAAAGAACGAAAGATATCATCTGAGATCAAATTGAACCTAAGAACGCTTCGGTTTCTAAAAGATTATTTCCAAAAACAAATTTAGGAAAAAGTAAATAAATTACACATAACTAACTGTTTTGAGCTTAGTTAGTGCACTGCATCTTATCACATTTCTCCGTGTAAATTACGTGATCAAAATGCAACAAGTGTAAAAACAACAATTACAGAAAAAATTTAACCTAATAAATTAATAATCTTCTGCTTGGCAGCCTAAAATTGAAGGAAAATGAGTGGGAAAAAAAATCAAAACTTTAGTTCAAGTAATTAACTGGCGTCGAATTCAATTACAGTAAATGTTTGCCTGCATTCTGTTCCAATCAGTTGGAATTACATGCTCAAAGTCTTAATTTTTCATATTTTCCCACGTTTTCCCGGCAACCAAACAGAAAGTAAGCAAATTTCAATGATTTGATTTCAGCGCGTGTGTATATACATATACATGCGTGTATGTGTAGATTACATGAAAGGATTTGGGGTTTGGTACCTTTGATTACTCTGTGAGCGAAGAGAGGGAAGCACGAGAGCTCCGAAACGGAGTGAGGATTTCACGGATCTTTAGAGCTTTACAGCAATGGAGTATGGAGCCGTCTGTTTGGATGTTCGGAGTACCATATTCCATCTGGGTTGGAACTATCCTGAACCGGATTATGTTTCTGGGCTGAAATGATTGGGCTGATTTTTGTTGGTTTGCTTTGATTGGACCGTGATTGTTGGATTTGGCCTAAAATCCAATTCAAAAGAGGGCCATGGCTAAAGACATTCTGGCTCGCATCAAATGACAATTGCGCTGAAATTTAGAAATGCTCGTTTAGAAATACTTTTAGAATGATTGAAATTGTTATTGGTGAAATTGATTTTCTGTTCCAAAAGCACTTTAAGTGTTTTTGGAAGAAGCACCAAATTTATATTTCTTAGTTATTGTAAAAACACTTTTAAATGAGTTATTGGTTTTTTTTAATTTTTTTTTTTAAGTTTATGGGGAGGGGAGACTATTCCATCTCAAGCCTCTTTGAGGACTTACGGATGAAGTCTTAGACATTTTTTAGTTTTTACGGATTTCCCAAGATACTATGGGTCCGTTTGTTGCACCAGACTGTCTCGGACTGGACTAGCTGCAGGGACTAAGCTAGACTGACTTATACTAAATTAAGCTGGACTAACTTAGTGAAGCGTTTGATACAATGTTGGACTAAGAAGCAGGATAATGAAAACAGTATTGTCACTAGTTTGATGTTTGCTCATACTAGGCCTACATTATTGTTCTATTTTAATTGCTTTTTTTAATTAAAGATATTATTAAAATTAGTAATATTGGATTGAGATTGAGACTCAATAAAAATACAAAAACCAAATTTTCTTGCCAACGAAAGAAACATACATGATCCAAGAGTAGCATTGTTCCAAACATGAATATAACAAAGTGCTCTCACAACAATCGACAGGGTTCATGACGATTTTCTTAATTATTCACCTTTGATTTAAAGTTGTATATTAGAACCGAATCCACCCCACACATCATTAACTTGAAAGAAATAGTTCTCTGACAAGTTAACATTTTGTTTACATGCTTCCACACATACTCTCAACCTGAAAATACATTGAACCAACACAAGGGCATGTCTGAAATCTAGACATATAGTTTTCATTTGAAACCACATTTGAAACTTAAAGTACATTTAAATGACAATATATAACATATCAAGTCTATGATTAAAAATGAGTGATAACTCATATAATTCTCCACGGTATGAGGATTACCACCGCCACGGGTAAGGTAACTTAAGCAGCTCAGTGTACTTGGAACAAAGCACAATTATCACTACAAGCATCACATACAGCTTTGATATTCATTCTTTTGCTTCACTTAGGTCCACACTGAGGTCAAGAACCTGCTCAAACATTCCAAGAAATTTGGTTAAACCTTATATGAAGACATGGTTCTATGAAAGAGTAAATAAAAACAAAGGCAAGTTAGTTAATCAAGGAAATGTCCATCGACTTTAAGGATGACATGAAATCGAAAACAACGTAACCAAACTAATTGGTCGATGCATAAAATTGTATTTCTTACCTTCCCTGTTATCAAGGTGTACATGTTGAGTACATCCAAGACAGTGGACTCAAAGTGTGTTGTGGCATCATAACTCTGTTAAACAAAAGAAGCCTTTTGTCAAGTGTGCATAAATCATATTGAAGAGTGCCCAGTACAGGTCAAGGCTTGAATAAGACTTACAGTTGATATAAAGCAATTGTCCAAAGTTGGTTCATTAACAGGTTCATATATGTCATAAGTCTTAAAAAATATCTCGTCAACAGGCCCTAAAAGGTCAATCCCTGGCTTTAGCTCAGTCTCGAGATGATCAGTCTCTGCGTCTGTTGATACAAATGCAATAAATTTTCCCTTTAGGGGCAACATTGTGAGAGTAGGAGCAACATAAAAGATACCTGTTCAGTCAATAAAGCACCAAAGAATTGGCCACCAGTAATAAGAAAATACAACAAAAAAGAAACAGGGATAACCCGAATGAATAAATATCCACCAACAAGCTATTGGTTCAAAGTATACACGAGTTCTCCAGATGCCTGCTCTAAATACCACTGTTTTCTCCTTTTGGTAGTAGTTTGGAGTCGAAATGATAGTAGGATAATATTAATATGCTTCAAGCAAGTGTTACCACAAAACCCTTCCAACAGTTATAGAATAATATAACCGACTATACCATCCACCCGATATAACATTGCAATTGCATATCCAATTACACAACAGAAATTTAAAATTTGTGGTTTAGACATTGTGTGCATATTAACCATACCATTCCTTTCTTCCTATTAAAGAAAACCCATTTCCTTGCCATAGCATAAAACAACATAGTCATGGGATTGTTTTTTCTAAAGCAACAGTTACAAGGGACCTTCTCAAATATGCATGTGGCATTCATTGCAAAATAAATATTGGTCCCAAACAAAAGATAAGAGAACTCACATATCTCATCTGACTGCTTTTGTGGCAGGATAACTTTCACTGAGTGAGATTCATTGGTGTTTGGAATTGGGTGGCTCATGATGGCAATAACTCTTGCAACCTTACCAACCTTCCTAACCTGTCAAAATGCAATAAATTTTCAGTAAGTATTTGGCAATAAGCATTTTTCTTCACCCTTCAAGCAAGATACAGAAGAACGTAGAGGATATTGTGTCCCTTGCAGACCTATAAATAAAAACAATCATATGCATACTTGAAAGGCATAAGATGAAATCTCTAGATGTCACTCTTGTTAAGTCCATTCCCTCATGTGTTTTAGGATCAGTTTCACTATAATCTTGAACATATAGGATGAACTTGCGTGCAAGACGCTTTTCAAACAGACCCATGAGTGGAGATTTAAGGGCCTCCATGTCAGTTGTTGGAACCTTGTGAACCTGTTGCAATAATTGAGATCCCACCCATAAGGTTTAAGATGAAATTTATATAGGACAATGTGTGAGTGTCTTTGTGAGTGTAGTTACTAAATGCAACTCAACTCATTTCTCAAACCCGATACAAAAATCCAAAAACTCTAGTCCAACCTAATATCAAAATCTGTTGAAATTAGACCTAAATCACAAATTTAACTTTGCATCCGCCCTTACAACAGCAATTTCGTGATGATTATCATCACTTTGGGACTAAAAATGGCATAAAATGTGAAAACCCGAAATTCTAATCTCAATTTGACCCTAAAAATCAAAACCCTAATTTGTTCAAGTGCAGAGGTCTATTATTGAAAATTTCTCAAACCCATAACACCTAAATCAAATAAAGCCCAGTAATATCACGATCTGCAAAACAAATCAAAGAAATAATGTCGGATTCGAAGTTTACCAGACAAGATGAGCAGATGAGGGCGAGCATGATGCAGCTGAGGGCGAGCAGGACGCAGAGATGAGGATGAGGAGGACGACGATGAGGGAGTAGGGCGAGGATCGAATCGCAGGAGAAGGAATATGATGGGATTAGAGGGCGGCTTAGCAATCCTCTCCGAATTGGAGGTCTCGCTAAGACCTGCTGGCAAGGGACTCAGTGGGTAGGAAACAAACACAAGACTGAACTAAAACTTAATCCAGTATAGTGCAGTGAGGGCTAGTGATGCCAAACAAACACATCCAATATGTTTAACTTGCAGGATGTGATTGTGAGTATAAATCATGAAAATTTAGACTATTTTTATCAAATTTCATTTCCATCCCAAAACAATTGGACGGAGAATTTTAATGCAATGGAAATATACATGATGTTTCTATAGCACTCATCGCGTGATTAAAGTTAAACTCAAGAGTCAGAGACATGATATTGTTGCAGGGAAAAGAAGAAAAACTCATGCGCTGCTCCAAGCCTTCAACTGGTCCAGGAACACATTATTCATAAGATATCCACAATTAATATTATTCACAACATATACAGTGCTGAAAGGAAGATCCAGAAAACATATTTACTTCAAAGTTCAAACCCCCCAAAATTCAAAGTAAAAAAAAAAAAAAAAAAAGAAAAACACCAGAAACAAATAACTACCCTTAATTAATTTCTTTCATCAGATGGTCACAATCTGCTATCTATATACACCAGAACATATACAGAACATATATATATATCTCTTCCCCTTTCCCAAAAGCTGGTAGCTTTAATCGTACTCATTAGAAGAGTATCTTGCAGAAGGTGAGCTTTCCCCTGAAGAATTGGCGTCACAGTTTGATGCTGATCCTCCTGACGAACATTCTTGATTAGATCTGCGCCCAATCCCAAAGATACCGGCTTTGATAAGGCCTCTTTTTGGTGGGAGATTGGTCAAGTCCCTGCCTTTTCCTTTCCTCATGACTGGGTTGCTGCTGCTGCCTTCGTTTGCCATTTTCTTTTTCTCGGCTAAATTGTTGTGGACAAGAAAGAATTAAGAGAGAGGAGAGAAGCCACAGAGGGCAGGAAAGGAAATGAGAAGGAGTGAGGTCCCTACTGTCATATATAGACATATTTTGGCTGACGATGATGATGATGATATATCTATTTAGATGGTGTCGTCACTGACACTGCTCCCGAACATTCTTGGTGGTTGGCTCAAGGTGTCGGCACTTGCCATCGAATTAATTACTTCGAATTCAAGAAACGAAAAAGCGAGAGGAGTTTGACTTTTGGAATTGGGTTTTTTTTTTTTTAGGGTGTGTGTGAATAGGTGTGAAAGATGAGGGTGAAGAAACGAAATGGGGATACAAATAGCCGAAGTTCGTGGTGATGGGCAGTGATGAAGTCAGGAACTGTCGAGGGGAGAGGTGAACTTAAGGATGCAAGGTTCAAAAAAAATGGCAACAATCAAATCCTTTTATATAGTAATATCTTTTATAATTTATTAATACAAACAAATTACAATTGTTGCCGTCGATGTTTCATGTCATAAAAACGTCGCATAATAAGTTCATTATTAATAAAAATAAATACATCTTTCTCAACGTAAACTCAATGAACTCATTTTGTTGGGAACTACCCGAAATACTTGAAGAAAGAATATCAGGAATATTCAAAGTAGGATTACTCAGAATATTCGAAAGAGGACTAGCCGAAATATTCGAAGGAGGACTAGCCAGAATATTCAAAGGAGAACTAGTTGGAATATTTGAAGAAGGATTTAAGCACTTTTTCATAATACCGTTTCATTATGTCACTGTATAATAAGAAGAAGAAGAAAAAAATCTTAGACTCTTAACCCTAGAGTAAAATATAGTATATGACTACTAACTAATTAAACCAACAATTCAATTAATCAATACCATTAATCATATAAACTATTCAATAAACCAAAATTCCATTCAATTGATTAAGCACTCATTCATATACTAGAGTAAAATACAGTATATGACTACTAGCTAATTAAATCAACAATTCAATTACTCAATACCATTAATCATATAAACTATTCAATACACTAAAATTCAATTCAATTAATTAATATCAATAATCAATAACTATGATTCTATATTAATTAGTTTCAAAAGGGAATGATGTGAAGGCAAATGTAACAGGGGAACCAATGGTCCCCACTTTAATTTATTTTTTAGTTGACGTTTGGTTATTTTAAATTTTTTATCATAAATGAAACGGTGTAGTTTCCTTCAAGGATTTTTCAAAAAACTAAAATAAAATTAAGACACTGCACAGCAGCAGGAAGCTTCCCATGTTATCCAAATTCAAGCATGTATACTTTCAAGTTTCAACACGGTATCCAAATTCGAATAGGTGTCCTCCTTGCGTACAAAGGAGTGGAGGAAACAAGACCTAGAGAGAGAGAGAGAGAGAGAGAGAGAGAGAGAGAGAGAGAGAGAGAGGAGTTGAGTGCACGCAGAGGAAACAATACCTAGACAGAGACAGAGAGGAGTGGAGTGGAGTGGACTTAATTGACTTTTGTATAGCCGTATAGGGACTGATCATCTGATCTAAGATCGGAGGCAGATTCTTTGCCCTTTTACTTTCTTTGCTCTTCTGTTTGTGTGGTCACGATTAAATCACGTTAATATTTTATATTATTATTTTTATAAAGATAATAAGACAAAAAAGAATAATAATATAAAATGATACGGAAGATCATGGGCAGTGGGAGGGCAGAGAAGCTGCCTTCTCTAAGATTTCCAATGGAAACTCCAAATCCAAATAAAATAAGGAAATTTTTGACCAATAAAACAAATAAAATAAGGAAATAATAATAATAATTTTTTTTTACAAAATAATTAATAGTTTATAGTTTTAATTATTTATATACATTAATATCCCAGAATAAAAAGGAAAGAATTAATAATTTTGGTGAAAAAAGGAAAATTTGATGCTCTCTTTCTCTAGTTGGATCGAATCGTAGTAAAAAGATACAGGGAAATCCAATTATTATTCGAAAATCCAACGGGAATCCTGACGATCTTAGGGAAGATATTCTACGTTCGGGTGCATAACAGCTGGCCCTTGCATTTATGATTTGCAACAGACTTACTTTGCATCTGTGGTAGTTTAAAAAGCTACTTAGTACAATGGTTTAGTAGTACTTCTGACAAGTAAAAGGTTTTAAGTTTGATTATCGTCAAAAATTCATTTGAACCACATTATTGTTATCACATCATGAGGTTAAGCTCACTTCCTTTTCTTAGTGTTGATATATTGTTTGTTACAAAAAATAAATAAATCTTAGCATTATTGGAGAACTACTTACCCCGTATGTCCATAGAAACTTTTCAATGTGCCGAGCTAGATGCGGTAAAGACATTTGTTATCATAAGATTAAAAGAAAGTTGATGTTTTCAGCGTTTTGAACAAACCGAAAAATCTCTCCTATGTCCAACATTCTTTTCGGTTTTGTCGTATGCGGCAAATGCAACCACGAGGACTAAAAGTGAACTTCTACTATACTAAATGGATGGAAAATAAAGTGTTCTTAAATTGCATTGTTTGCTAAACTACATGAACGAATGTTGAGACATTTGAAACCACGAGGACCAAAAGTGAACTTCGACTAAACTATAGGGACCAAAAGTGCGACATGGCACCCTTAGTTTTTAGTTTTTATTTTAAAAACTTTAATGAAAAATTCCCGGTACTGTTCACTTTAACGAAAAACCACATTTTTACACTAAAAGATCAATCCTGGTATAATTCACTTTACCTTTTATTTTGTCCTTATTGTTAAAACTCAAAAGTTTTCAAACGTTTTTCATTAGTTTTCCTCTTTATTTTTCCAAAAAACCTGAGAAAAATTGGATAAATTTGTTCCTAAATCAAACAATTCAGAAGGGCAAAAATTAGCAACAAAAGTTAAAGAGAATCCAAAAATAAGATCAGATCTCATATATTTCTTTTTCTCATAACAAGTAAATTACCTTCCCTGTTTCTAAGTCTCTAATTTTGAATGACATTTTATATCCCCTTTCAGATTAGAGGCTAAAGCTACAGAGAAAAAGATACACAAGACAAAACACCCCTCATCTGTACTCCTGCGGCAAGCGATATCCCGGCATGACGATCTTGTCAGCGAACATTTTGCCCGTCTTGGGCATCACATGCCAGTGCAACGTCAAGTTGAATTCTTTACCCCGGAGATTGGTTCCCTACACGAAGATGATTTACAGAGAGAGTAAGTTATCGATGGATCGAAGAAACTACAGTGGAACTTAGTCTCCGGTGAAGCCAAGAAACAGATGCAAGGGATGAAAGGGACTACCCGTACCTGATCAATGAAACGGTACTTGTTTGAAGTATGAATCCAAAACTTGGCATGTTCTTTTGTTGGTAAGATGCCATCCCAAAGAGAAATCTGTAGAATAGCGTTCAAATATAATCAAAAAGCTTATTTAAGCAATAATTGAAGCACTGTGCAGTCTACAAGCCCTAGAGTGGACGTGTGGATCCAAGGAATACGCAGAAGGAAAAACCATGGAAAAACAGTTATTCAGAGAGAGAGTTGATAATCTCAATATATGTAGCTACCTGATTCAGTGAGTTCTTTGGGGTTCCATACTCAGCGGCTAGAAAAACAAAAACCTGTCATGCATTGCAAATAAAGTACAAGGGATCAACGCCAAGTGTATTCTCACCACCACGGCCCATTTGGCTCATTTGAGGCCTCTGCCCCATTTGACCCATATTTCCCACATGACCCATTTGACCCATCTGGCCCTTTTGGCCCATGTAACCCATTTGTTGCATATCCTCATCATCATCATCACTGCCTTTGCCACCTTCGCCTCCTTTTGCCACCTTTGCCTCCTTTGCCATTGAAATCAATGTCATGAAAATTATTTTTCTCATGTTTGCTCCCACCCTTTTAGCTTCCATTGCCCTTGCCCTTACTTTTCTCGTCGCCACCGCCTTTCGAACCGCCTTGTCCGATACTCGTACTCCGGCTAAGCCACCCTAGCAACCCACCTCCTTTTTTGCCATCTTTGCCCTCTTTCTTACCTTTGCCACCTTGTTTCTTATCCCCACCCTTGCTATTTCCACCGCCTTTCTTCCTCCACTTCCGTCCTTGCCATTCTTCTTTTCGTTATTTCCACCCATACCCTTTACTTGCACAGGGAAATCAATCACCCCGCCTTTCTTGGCAGACCCTCCCCCACCGCCGCCCCCACCACCGCCACCTAACTTCTTGTCGTTCATCGTGTTGGTATATGGTCCAGCCCATGATCAATGTTCTAGATTATTCTAGTAAGCAAGAGAGATGGCTGGAGCATGCTAGACAATTCTAGCATGTTATTAAGTTGATGGAAGAAGCTAGAGAGTACTAGCTTCCTTGGTTGCAAATGGAAAGATCTAGAAGCCACACTTTTGTGGCTAGTCTAGATCTTTCTATGCTAGAGGTTTGAAGAATACACTAGAAACTAGTAGAATGCCAAACCCTCACCTATAAATATGGGTGTGATGTTGTAGTGAACCAACAAATCAAGAGAGTAGTGAGTAGCAAAGGATCAAGTCCAAAGCTAGAGTTCCACTCCAAGAGTGAGAGTGAGAGTGAGAGTGTTCCACTACACATTGTGTGAGTGAAGTTTAGTGTGATAGAAAGTGTGTGTCCTACTTTCTTTGTTCCATCAAGCCTTGTCTTTGGCTTGGTAAGACTACTCTTGTTGTACTCTCATCTTTTCATATAGTGAAGATTGATCCTTGTTTGGTGGACGTAGGCATAAATTGCCGAACCACACATAAATTTTTGGTGTCCATTTTCTACTTTACTTTGTGCATTCTCTATCTTGTAGTACCGACATTCCTAACAAGTGGTATCAGAGCCCGGTTGGCTCGTACTACGAGATGGAAGGAAGTGGCACTATGATCAAACTCACCAACTCCAATTGGGTAACATGGAAGCCAAGGATGGAGGACATTCTCTATTGCAAGGATTTGCATGAGCCAATTGAAGGAGATGCCGCTAAGCCCGAGAGCATGTCCGATGCCGAGTGGAAGAAGATGAATCGCAAGGCTATTGGCACAATTAGACAATGGGTGGATGATAGTGTTTTTCACCATGTGTCTAATGAAACCAAATGCTCGCGAGTTTTGGACAAAGCTTGAGTCCTTGTTCGAGAAGAAGACTCCAGCTAAGAAAGCCTTCTTGATCAAAGAGCTCATCAATGTGAAGTACAAGGATGGTTTAAGTGTAGCAGAACACTTGAACAATTTCCAGAATATCATCAACCAGTTGGCTACTATGAAAATGACGATCGAGGACGAGCTACAAGCGCTCTTGTTACTTGGATCCTTGCCAGACAGTTGGGAGACCTTTGTGGTGAGTATAAGTAACTCTGCTTCTAATGGTGTTCTTACCCTTGATAATGTTAAAAATAGCATGCTCAATGAAGAAACAAGGAGAAAGACTTCTGGCACAGATAGCAGCCAAGTATTTGTCACAGAGAACCGCGGAAGAAGCAAGAGTAGAGGGCCTAGAGGTCATGGCAGGAGTCCTAGCCGATCCAAGTCAAGGGTTCAGGGGTGCATGCCACCATTGTGGCAAAGAAGGCCATATGAAGAAAAATTGTCGAGTTTGGAAGAGAGAGAGCAAAGGGAAGGAAACAATCAGAAGAAAGATGATACTGGGCAATACCACTGCAATGTCATATGTGGTGATGTACCAGAAATATTGTCTGTTGGTGAATGCCTGCATATGGGCAACTCTGACAGAGACATTGAATGGATCTTTGACAATGGAGCTTCCTCCTTCCATGCTGCTACGTCCAAACGGGAGTTCTTCAGTACATACAAAGAAGGTGACTTTGGCATAGTGAAGATGGGGAATGAAAGCTATTCCAAAATTCTTGGAATTGGTGATATATGTCTAAGAACTAATCTCGGCTGCCAATTGATGTTGAAAGATGTGAGACATATTCCTGAATATACGTCTCAATCTGATATCCATCGGTACCCTTGATCGACAAGGATATTATCACCATATTGGCGAAGGAAAATTGAAGCTTACTAAAGGCTTAATGGTGGTAGCAAGAGCACGACTTTGTTGTACGTTGTAACCGGTCAAATGCCAAGGTTTTGAAAGGTGAGTTGAATGCTGTGGAGGACTCATCTCTAGACTTGTGGCATAAGAGGCTAGGTCACATGAGCGAAAAGGCCTACAGGTTTTGGCAAAGAAGTCTCACATTCCCTTTGCCAAAGGTACGTCGTTAAACTCTTGTGAGCATTGTTTTATTCGGAAAACAAAGAAGAGTTAGTTTTTCTGTTTCATCTACAAAGAAAGGAAACTTGTTAGATCTTGTTTATTCAGATGTGTGTGGTCCCATGGAAGTCGAGTCACTTGGAAGAAATAAATATTTTGTTACTTATATTGATGATGCTTCACGAAGGGTGTGGGTGTATTTGTTGAAATCCAAAGACCAGGTGTTTCAGACATTCCAGGAGTTCCATGCCATGGTGGAGAGGGAAATTGGGAAACCTCTTAAGTGCCTTCGTAGCGACAAACGGCGGCGAGTACACATCTCACCAGTTTAGAGAGTATTGTGTAAAACATGGCATAACGTCATGAGAAGACAGTTCCTGGAACTCCACAACATAACGGTGTTGCTGAAAGAATGAACCGAACCATCATGGAGAAAGTCAGGTGTATGTTGAGGACTGCAAAGTTATCTAAGCAGTTCTGGGGTGAAGCTGTAAGGACAGCCTGCTATTTGATCAACCGATCTCCATCAGTACCATTAGGTCTTGATGTTCCAGAGAGAGTATGGACTGGTAATGATGTGTCTTACTCTCATCTGAAGGTGTTTGGTTGCAAAGCTTTTGTGCATGTGCCCAAAGAGCAGAGATCGAAGTTAGACTACAAAGCTACACCGTGCATCTTTCTTGGTTATGGCGGTGAAGATTTTGGTTACAGATTATGGGACCCATACCAGAAGAAGTTTATCCGAAGTAGAGACGTGGTCTTTTATGAAGATCAAACAATTGGGGATTCGGATAAAGAAGGCACAAACCAGATGGCGCAGTCAGAGGAGTTGATCCATTAGCTTCAGATGACGAAAGTCACGATGACATCCCTGAAGCAACTGCCAATGAAGTGCCTGCAGAATCAGATAATGCTGATCAAGAGGAGCCTGATCAAGATGTGCCAGACCATGAGATTGCTGATCAGGGGGAGCCTAGTCAAGAAGAGCAGATTCAAGGAGAATCCAATCAGGGGGAGCCTCTAGCCCCGCAAGAGAATGAAGATCAGGTCAGAAGATCCAGCAGAAGTCGAAGACCGTCTACCAAGTATTCTTCATCAGAGTATATCATGTTGACTAATTATGGAGAGCCCGAAACTTATGAGGAGGCCAGAGCTCATAACGACAGTGATAAATGGATGAAGGCAATGGAGTCAGAGATGGATTCCTTATTAAAGAATAATACCTATGAGCTGGTGGAGCTTCCAAAGGGCAGAAAAGCATTGAAAAACAAGTGGGTGTTCAAATTGAAAAATGACGACAACATGACAAGGTACAAGGCTCGTTTGGTTGTCAAAGGTTTTGGTCAAAAGAAAGGAGTTGACTTTGATGAGATTTTCTCACCGGTGGTGAAGATGACTTCCATTCGAGTTATCCTTGGTATGGCAGCAAGCATGGATCTTGAGCTCGAGCAGTTAGACGTTAAAACTGCATTTCTCCACGGTAACTTAGAAGAGGAGATATATATGGAGCAACCCAAAGGCTTTGAAGTCAAGGGTAAAGAAACTTTGGTGTGCAAGCTCAAGAAAAAGCTTATATGGTCTTAAGCAGGCTCCGAGACAGTGGAATAAGAAGTTCAACTCATTCATGGTGAGTAATGGGTACAAGAGAACTCATGCTGACTCTTGTGTCTATATCAAACAATTTTCTGGAGGTAAATTCATCATTTTGTTGCTTTATGTTGATGACATGTTGATTGTCGGTCAAGATGCTTTTATGATTAAAAAGCTCAAAGAAGAGTTATCTAAGTCCTTTGACATGAAGGACTTAGGGCCAGCCAAGCAGATTTTGGGCATGGAGATAATTCGTGACAGAAAATCCAAGAAGTTGTGGCTGTCACAAGAAAAATATGTTGAACGGGTGCTTGAAAGGTTCAACATGAAAGCAGCCAAATCGGTAAGCTCACCTTTAGCCAATCATATCAAGTTGAGCAAAGAGTCGTGTCCAAAAACATATGAAGAAAAGGAGAAAATGGCAGTTGTTCCCTACTCTTCAGCAGTAGGAAGTATCATGTATGCAATGGTGTGCACACGGCCAGATATTGCTCATGCAGTAGGTGTGGTGAGCAGGTTTTCTCTCTAATCCAGGGAAAGACCATTGGGAAGCTGTTAAGTGGATTCTCAGATATTTGAAGGGGACTTCTAAGATGTGCTTGTGCTTTGGCGGTTCCAAACCAATCTTGGAAGGATTTACAGATGCTGACATGGGAGGTGACCTGGATGGCAGAAAATCTACGTCTGGGTACTTGTTTACTTTTGCAGGGGGAGCCGTGTCTTGGCAATCCAAGTTGCAAAAGTGTGTTGCTTTGTCTACAACCGAGGCTGAATACATAGCCGCTACAGAAGCATGCAAGGAGTTGTTTGTGGCTGAAAGCGGTTTCTCCAAGAGTTGGGTTTTAAGCAAAGTGATTATGGCGTTTATTGTGATAGTCAGAGTGCTCTGGATTTGAGCAAGAACACTGCATACCATTCACGCACCAAGCACATTGATATTCGTTATCACTGGATTAGAGATGCTATCGAGAACAAGATGCTACAGCTGAAGAAGATTCATACCGATAATAATTCTTCAGACATGTTGACAAAGGTGGTCACAAAATCAAAGTTGGAATTCTGCATTAAGGCTGCTGGGATGGACTCCAGGTAACTTGGAGTCATGATCGGAATTCCTCCCTCATGGACTGGAGGGGGAGATTGTTGGTATATGGTCCAGCCCATGATCAATGTTCTAGATTATTCTAGTAAGCAAGAGAGATGGCTGGAGCATGCTAGACAATTCTAGCATGTTATTAAGTTGATGGAAGAAGCTAGAGAGTACTAGCTTCCTTGGTTGCAAATGGAAAGATCTAGAAGCCACACTTTTGTGGCTAGTCTAGATCTTTCTATGCTAGAGGTTTGAAGAATACACTAGAAACTAGTAGAATGCCAAACCCTCACCTATAAAATATGGGTGTGATGTTGTAGTGAACCAACAAATCAAGAGAGAGTAGTGAGTAGCAAAGGATCAAGTCCAAAGCTAGAGTTCCACTCCAAGAGTGAGAGTGAGAGTGAGAGTGTTCCACTACACATTGTGTGAGTGAAGTTTAGTGTGATAGAAAGTGTGTGTCCTACTTTCTTGTATCCATCAAGCCTTGTCTTTGGCTTGGTAAGACTACTCTTGTTGTACTCATCTTTTCATATAGTGAAGATTGATCCTTGTTTGGTGGACGTAGGCATAAATTGCCGAACCACATAAATTTTTGGTGTCCATTTTCTACTTTACTTTGTGCATTCTCTATCTTGTAGTACCGACATTCCTAACACATCGCATGCAACATATTCATCATCCCAGCAGGCACATGTGGTCCATGGCCATTATTACCACCCATCATCGGCATCATCATCGAATTCATCATCATCAAATTCATCGTCATACTCATCGAAATCGCTACCGTCAAATTCCTCCCCTTCCGCCGGCAGATTGAACTTCACAGACTTCTGGTCCTTCTGAGGCGCCTTCATAACATTACCATTACCCCCTTTCATCTGTTGGTGTTGCTGCTGGTGACCTCCTCCGCCCTTTTGGGGTTGTTGCTGATGGCCTCCTCCGCCCTTTTGTGGATGTTGCTGGTGGCCACCGCCTTTCGCGTTCTGGACCGGCATAGCCATGTTCTTGAACTGGTTGTTGAGCTGGGCTTGATTGAAATTTGAACCCTTTGAACCTCCCCAGAGTTCTGCATGTTTCCCCTTTTTTTCAAGTTTCTTGATGATTGTGTATGGATCAACATTCCCTGTCACAGTCACCTTGCTATGCTCTGCATCTATACTTGTTGTGTACACACCTAAACAAATTACCGAAGTTGGTAAAACTAAAACCAGTGACCAAGATTTCGTTTTACCCTAACTAAAAACCCCATTGAAATTCATACCGTTACACTTGAACAGTGAAAAATCATAAGTAAACGAAAACATCAATATTTATGGTAGATTAAGAAAACATGCCGTCTAGCGTCTTCCAGTCTCTACTACTTAAAGTCCCGAAAGTTCGGAGTTCAAATCTCGTGAACGGAAGTTGTTAATGTATAAAGTAAGAAATAATTTGTATTATTTAGGAAGTCTCGAGTTCAAATCTCAAGTTCTTGATATATAAAGTAAGAAATAATTTGTTGGGTAAGAAATATCAAAACATGGTAACAAGGGAGAGGAACATACCATCGATTTTCTGCAGCAATTTCTTTATCTTATGCTTGCATCCATCACAGTCAATATTAACCTTGAGAACACAGGTCTGCAAGTAAAATCAATACCAAAACCAAACAAACCAAATTAGACTTGAGTAAATAACTTAATACATACAAATGAGAAAACGTAATTAAGAGAAAACAGAAGAACAATGAAAAAGGTTCTAAACTAAAGTAAACAGCTTTGATTTTCAGAAAAGTTTTGTACCTGAAGCTTCATCATCTCCTGTTTACTCATTTTTTTAGAGAGAGAGAGAGATATGAGCAAAACAGGTTTCCTGCTTGTGAGCTGAGAATATAAAGAGGGAAGAGAGAGAGAGAGAGAGAGAGAGAGAGAGAGAGAGTTCAAAGGCGGTTGGTGAGAGTTTAAACACTATCCTTTAGCTTTATCTCCCTCTGATCGAGGGTTTTGTGTACCCTTTTCAAGCATTTTTTAAAGAGAGAGAGAAAGAAAGGAGGAGAGTGTGTGTGAAGTCGGTTTGTCCTAGCTGCAATTACCGTGGCCTGATATGTCAATCGAATATTTACTTACAGTTTCAGAAGTGGCTTAAATACTTAAACATAGATTAATGGCAGTTGAAAAATAAAACTCCCTAAAACTAATAATATAAAACATGGAAGGGAGCAAGACGTAGTTTTTTTATATACGTGCCTGGAAAACACCGAAGAAACATGAATCTATTAGTCGGCAGGAACACTGGAAAACACAAAAGAAACACTATTATATTTGAGTCAAGGAAACCCCATTAAACCAACTTTTATATCAGAGGTCAGTCGGTTAGAAGTGGATATTTGATAAGTTAAAGAAAATAACAGACAAAAAGAACTGTTAGCAATATTCTTACATGGGAAATCTTGCTCTACCTTCCCTACTCTTTTGATCATTTTACAATATTACACGAGTTTGAAACGTTTATTTTCTAGGTCATTCTCAATATTCTTATATAAATAATTTCGTTCTATTTTTCAACTCTTCTGATTATCCTGCAATGTTACACGAGTTTGAACTGTTTATTTCTTAAGTCACCCTCTGAACATCTTCTATACAAAAAATTTACTACAACTAAATTTTTTGTCATCTAAAGTTTATTTTATAAATAGACAAACTATGGTTTCCACTTAAACAATGAAATTTTGTTAACCTTAAATACATAGTTAAACGATTTGTGGTTGATTGATTTTTCTGCAAAGTTGATCTTCAAAATATGACCTTAAAAGTAGATAATGTATTTTGAGAGGAGAACGAGAACTAAAAAAGTATATCCAGAAGATACAAGTGAGAATGCGGCCAGCATATTCTAAAAGTAAAACTTTGGCTTTTTTTTACACTCATTCTTCTATTTTTGCTAATCTTATTCACGATTGATTGATAAAATTAAAAAAAATGCGTGCAAAACAATAACTGAAAGTGAAAACCACTACCCAAACCTCTAATTGACAAGGAAAACATAAAAAGATTGTTATATTTCAGGCAAGTAGAATTTAAATGTAGATCAAATACAAGTAGTCATACAATACTATAATCTTTTCCCAAAAAATACAATACTAAAACACACCTTAAAGCAAGTGGAAAGAAAAGGCATTCGAAGTGATCTCTTTGCCCCACTTTCCTTACGACAAACTTAAACATGATTAATCCAGGCATAAACATGGTTTGGTTTGAAGCATATTCTGTTCATTATTAACAAAAACAGCTGGAGATAGATTGGCTGGACACACTCTATAATATATTAAGCTCTTAAAATTCATGGCTTTAAAAGATAAATACTAAGGAGACTCTGTCAAACTAGATTCTATATCAACTATGTTTTAATTCACAATTTAACGTTAATCTTGCACATATAAAATTTTGTACAAAAATATGAGTCCAATAAAAAATCTCTTCAAAAGAATCTCTTATACCATTTCTCTTATAATTTTAAGAGGTAGATTGTATGCCCTCCTATTTGGGTGCCCTTCCCATCCTCCCATATTTGTGCGGTTACGGTTAAGTCACGTCAACATTTTATATTCTTATTGATTTTTGTCTTATTATTTCTATAAAAAAATATATAAAATGTTGACATGACTTAACTGTGACCGCACAAATAGAAGGGAATGGGAAAGGCACTCAAACAGGAGGACATACAACCTGCCTCTATAATTTTATGGCACCCATAATAGTGAGTTAATACCTAATTTTGGTGGGGGAAGACATGATTAGACTTCTAAGGCCATCTCCAACTGATGGCTGGCCAAATGACTCATTTTAGCCCTCTAGCCCTTCAAGATTCTCCAAGATATTAGGCCATCTCTAACCGAGGGCTGGCCAGAGGGCTCGTTTTAGCCCTCTGGCCCTCCAAGATTCCCCAAGATATTAATATTTTAATGAACAGTAGATGGCCATATTTGTCTCCGTCTCCAACCGAGGGCCAAAGGGCCAGAGGGCTCGTTTTAGCCCTGTCACAAAAAACCGTCTCCAACTGAGGGCCAAAGGGCCATAAGGCCAAACATAATTTATTATTTAAAAACTACAATTTAAATTCAAATCCAACGGCTAAGTGACGTCAACATGACGTCAGCTAGCCGTTGAATTTGAATTTTTTTTGCTATAAATAGGGTGGATATTGGGCTATAATTCACACAACTTTGAATTCAATCTCTTGCAATTCAATCTCTTTCAAATCAAGTTTGCAATGAATTCCAACTTTGGATCCTCATCCAATTCCAATTGGGGGTCTTCATCCAATTCCAAATTGGAAGCAAAATGGGCGCAAATGAGACGAGAAGATGAGGAGTCTGATGAAGAAGTTCAAGTAAGGCGCAACAAACAAAACATGGCAGCAGCCATGGTGTGTCAGCCAACTGAGGAACAACCTCAATGGGGTGGCTCTATTGCTAGTCACTCTTACAAACCACGAAACAGAGCGATGACGCATGTCAATCTGATGAACAACTACTTCAACCCCAACTCAGTGTACACAGAAGAGGATTTCAGACGTCGCTTCCGGATGAGGCGTCATGTTTTTGAGCGTTTACTTCGTGATGTCCAGCAGGTCAATCCATACTTTCGACAGAAACGGGACAGAGCAGGCCGCCCTGGTTTCTCACCTCATTAGAAGGTTACTGTTGCACTTCGAATGATGGCCTATGGTTCCTCAACTGAGATGGATGAACCCATGGTATGTCTGAGTCTACATGCCTTAATACTCTTGAAGAATTTTGTAACACAATTGTTCAGGTTTACAAAGACGAGTACCTCCGAGAGCCAAATCAAGAAGATCTGAATCGGCTCCTTCACAAAGCTGAAGACCGTGGGTTTCCGGGCATGATAAGGTCATTAGACTGCATGCATTGGGATTGGAAAAATTGTCCCACTAGATGGCAATGAGGCTTTAGCGGAAGGTCGAGAAAGCCAACTGTTGTGTTAGAGGCAGTTGCCTCATATGACACATGGATCTGGCATGCTTTCTTTGGAGTCCCTGGATCCTAAAATGACATTACAGTTCTTGGGCGTTCACCCCTCTTCAATAACTTGACGGAAGGTAAAGCACCTCAACTTGACTACTACATCAACGGTCGTGAATACAGTATGGGGTATTACTTGGCAGATGGCATCTACCCAAAGTGGGCAACACTTGTCCAAGCAATTCCAAACGCTAAGAATGACGCAAAAAAGTTGTTTACCTTACACCAAGAGGCATACCGGAAAGATGTTGAGAGAGCTTTTGATATTCTACAAGCACTGTGGAAAATCATCAGCGAACCGGCAAGAGGGTGGAGTCGAGAAAATTTGAACTCCATCATGATGTCTTGCATCATATTACACAATATTATAGTGGAGGATGAGCGAGATGGGTATATTGATGGAGAGTCCGATGACGACCAAGAAGATCCAAATAGGTCAAGAAGGGCTCTAGTAAAAATATATGATGGGCCTAATTTGCCTTTCAATCCAAGAACTGGTAGTATCTCTATAAATGAGTACATAAGGCGCTATAGAATGATACGTTCTCGTGCCACAAATAAGTACCTACAACAGGATCTTGTTGCACATCTTTGGGCCAAAAGAAGCATGGAGTAGGCTTTTAAGTTTTATGTTGTTAAATGTTTTTAAAAATGTTGTTTAAGTTTCATGTTGTTAAATGTTTTTTTTATGTTGTATAATTTGTATGTTGGTTAATGTTATTTAATGTTGTTTCATATTGTTTAATGTTGTTTCATGTTACTTAATTTAATTTAATGTTGTATAAATGGCCTAGGAAGTTATAGGAAAAAAATAGAATTGAAAAAAAATATGAAACAAATTTTGTGAAATAGAAGTTATAGGAAAAAAATGGAATTTAAAAAAATATGAAACAAATTTTGTAAAATAGAAGTTATATGAAAAAAAATATACGAATCAAATTTTGTAAAATAGAAGTTATAGGAAAAAATAGAATTTAAAAAAAATTGAAACAAATTTTGTGAAATAGAAGTTATAGGAAAAAAATGGAATTTAAAAAAATATGAAACAAATTTTGAAAAAATAGAAGTTATAGGAAAAAAAAAATAATTTAAAAAAAATTGAAACAAATTTTGTAAAATAGAATTGAAAAAAAATATGAAACAAAATTTGATTCATATGAAAAGGACAAAAATAGGGAAAAAAAGAAGTTTAAATTCATAAAAAAAAATTAAAAAAAAGTTAATACAACGGTTACTAGCCGTTATATTCAAAAAATTTCACACTATTAGTGTCGGTTATAACTGACACTAATAGTAATTAAAAAAAAATTTGCCTTTGAATAACTATTACTGTCGGTTATAACCGACAGTATTAAAAAATCATTCTTTAATGCTGTCAGTTATAACCGACAGCAATGGGAAAACCATAAAAGAAAAATAGCCAGCCAGCCAGCCCTTTGGCCCTTTGGCCCTTTGAAATTCCATGGGGCCCTCCCAAATTCCCGAGCCCTCTGGCCTAGCCCTCGGTTGGAGACGGTTTTAGGGCTATTTTCAGCCCTCTGGACCCTTCGGTTAGAGATGACCTTAATATTTTCATGAACAGTACATGGTCATATTTGCCTCCGTCTCCAGCCGAGGGCCAGAGGGCCAGATGGCTCATTTTAGCCCTTTAAAAAAAACCGTCTCCAACCGAGGGCCAAAGAGCCATAGGACCAAACATAATTTATTATTTAAAAACTACAACTTAAATTCAAATCCAACGGCTAAGTGACGTCAGCATGGAGTAGGCATTTACGTTTTATGTTTTTAAATGTTTTTAAAAATGTTGTTTAAGTTTCATGTTGTATAATTTTTATGTTGGTTAATGTTATTTAATGTTGTTTCATATTATTTAATGTTGTTTCATGTTACTTAATTTAATTTAATGTTGTGTAATGGCTTAGGAAGTTATAGGGAAAAAATGGAATTATGGAATTTAATGTTGTATAATGGCTTAAGTTTCATGTTACTTATGGATGAAGTCTTAGACATTGTTTAGTTTTTACAGATTTCCCATCGAGAGAAAATATAATTAATTTGCACGATGTGATTGTGAGTATAAATCATGAAAATTTTGGCTATTTTATCAAATTTCATTTCCATCCCAAACAATTGGACGGATTTTTGAATGCAACGGAAATAGATATCATGTTTCTATAGCACTCATCACGTGATTAAAGTTAAACTCAAGAGTCGAGACATAATATTGTTGCAACAAAAGGAATGAAAAAAAACTCATTATTCATAAGATAATCACAATTAATATTCAGAATATATATAATGGAATTCAAAACCCAATTACATACATGATCATCTTTATAGCATAACCAGCTACAAACCTTCACTCGGTTACGAACCCTAAATTCATAAGAACCCTAAATGCATCTCACGAAATCATTTTAAATATTCATCAGAATTCATAAAAATTAATTAGTTACACGAGTTTGTGATCGTCGTGGCAGACCCAGCTGCAAACATCTACTGTTAAAAGTTGAATAAAAAGAAACTTAAAAATTAAAGTAACTTAGGTTATCTAATCACCTTCACCTCCGGCGGTATGTCCTCACAGTATTCGGGAACTCCATCAAAGAACCTATACAAAAGCCAATCTTTCTCTCTTTCCAGTAAATCCAGGTCGGGAATCTCCCCAGGAATTTCCCACAAAACATCAACAACCTCCGTCGTCTTCTTCTTCTTCTTCGTCTCCTTTTTCTTCTTCCCCTTGGTCGTAGTCTTCTTTTTACCCGCCGTTGATGAAGTCGACGATGATTCTTTTACCTTCTTTTCAGCACAAGAAGACGAGCCAGTTTCTTTCTTAATGACGATCTTCTCACCAACAAGTTCTTCCTCATTTTTCTGATCTTTTATTATCTTCCTTCTTGTTTTTGTAGTCGTTTCTGGCGTCCTACGCTTCTTTGAAATAGGGTTTTCCCCCGGTATCTTTATCTCGAGAACGATTTCAAATTCCTTTCGTTTGCGACCAACTGGTGGAGTGTAATCATCATCACTGGAAGATTCTGTGGCATCCGGATCCAAAAAGCGAACCACCTTCAACCTCGGCTTCTTTTTTTCAGGTTCTTGTGGTGCCGGCGCCGCTGCTCCCTCTTCTTGTTCTCTTCTGGCCGAGACTGGCGGGGTTTGAGGGTGGTGGTCTGGGTCGAAGAGTGCAGTCACTTTTCGTGCCGTCATGAACTTGAGCGGTGGGGGAGGGGCATTGGGAGGGGAGAGAGCAAGTGCTACTTCTTTCGCCTTCTTTCTCGTGCCTGCCCTTTTGGTGGCGGTGGTGTGGAGTAGCGATGGAGATGCATTGAGAGCGCATTGATCAATCACTACTATTGGTTTCTCTCTCGTGCCTGCCCTTTTGATGGTGGTGTGGAGCGGTGGTGGAGGGGCGTTGGGAGCAGATTGGGCAAGCACTACTTCTTTCGGCTTCTCTCTACTGCCTGCCATTTTGGTGGCGGTGGTGCTGAGATGCGACGGAAGAGGGACACTGGGAGCAGGGAGAGCAAGCACGACTTGTCCTCTCGACATCTCTCTCGTTTTTCGCTTTCTCGAACTCGAGTTTCTTGGACCTTCCATGAGTCTGGAGTAATTAGAGAGAGAAAGTAGCTAGAGAGAGAGTATCAAGAGTACTTAGAGAAAGAGTAGCAAGATTACATAGAGAAAGAGAGAGTAGCTAGAGAGAGAGAAGTGGAAATGGGCAAGAAAGAAGGAGTGTATATGTATATTTATAGAGATTGTAATCTAAGATGAAAGATGGAAAGTCCCTCCCCAAATCCGTGGTTTAATTTAATAAAGGATTAAGGAGAGAGAGAGTAGCAAGAGTACTTAGAGAGAGAGAGAGAGAGTAGCAAGGTACTTAGAGAGAGAGAAGTGGAAATGGGCAAGAAAGAAGGAGTGTATATGTATATTTATAGAGATTGTAATCTAAGATGAAAGATGGAAAGTCCCTCCCCAAATCCGTGGTTTAATTTAATAAAGGATTAAGGAGAGAGAAAGAGTAGCAAGAGTACTTAGAGAGAGACAGAGAGAGAGAGAAAGTAGCTAGAGTGGAGAGAGAGTAGCAAGAGTACTTAGAAAGTAGCTAGGCAGAGAGAGTTGCAAGAGTACCTAGAGAGAGAGAGAGAGGGAGAGAGTAGCAAGAGTACTTAGAGAGAGAGAAAGTAGCTAGAGAGAGAGTAGCAATGTACTTAGAGAGAGAGAGTAGCAAGGTACTTAGAGAGAGGCTAGAGAAAAAGAGAGAGAGAGAGAGAGGTGGAAATGGGCAAGAAAGAACGAGTGTATATGTATATTTATAGAGATTGTAATCTAAAGTGGTTTAATTTAATAAAGGATTAAGGAGAGAGAAAGTAGCTAGAGTGGAGAGAGAGTAGCAAGAGTAATTAGAAAGTAGCTAGGGAGAGAGAGTTGCAAGAGTACCTAGAGAGAGAGAGAGAGTAGCGAGAGTACTTAGAGAGACAAGTGGTGCGTCCCCAAATCTGCGGTTTAATTTAATAAAGGATTAAGGGTTTCCAAATTCAAGTAGGTAAAGGGTTTAATTCCTTGCGCAAAAAGGAAACTATCTGGAAAAGTTAGGGCTCTGCTAGCACCCAAAGGAAACAAGACCTAGAGAGAGAAACTAGAGAGAGACAGAGACAGAGACGAGTGGAGTGGACTTAGTTGACAAGCAGCAAGCAAGTCTCTGTATTGGTATAGCAGTATAGGGATTGATCATATGATCTAAGATCGCCAATGGACACCCCAAATCCAAATAAAATAAGGAAATTTTCAACCAAAAAAACAAATAAAATATGGAAATAATTAAAAAAAATTTACAAAATAATTAATAGTTTTTAGTTTTATTTATTTATATACATTAATATCCCAGAATAAAAAGGAAAGAATTAATAATTTTGGTGAAAAAAGGAAAATTATTTTTACATCGGGCGTCATTTGATGCTCTCTTTCTCTCGTCGGATCAAATAGTAGTAAAAAGATACAGGGAAATCCAATTATTATTCGAAATTCAACGGGAATCCTGACGATTTTAGGGAGATACTCTACGTTCGGGTGCATGACAATTGGCCCTTGCATTTAGTTTAAAAAGCCACTTAGCACATCGGTTTACTGGTATTCCTGGTGAGTGAGAGATCTTAAATTCGATTATCGCTAAATGTGAATTTAAATCACATTATTGTTAATCTATTATGAGGCTAAGTCCACCACATTCTCTTAGTGTAGATAATATCGTTTCTGTAGAAGAAAAAAATGGATCTTAGCATTATTGGAGAACTACTTACTCCGTATGTCCATGAAGACTTTTCAGTGTGCCAAGCTACGATGCGGTAAGACATTTGTTATTATAAGGTTGAAACCACAAGGACCGAAAGTGAACATCGACTAAACTATAGGGACCAAAAGTGCGATATGACACCCTTAGTTTTTAGTTTTCATTTTTCCGAAAACTGGAGAAAAATTGGATAAATTTGTTCATAAATCAAACAATTCAGAAGGGCAAAAATTAGCAACAAAAGTTAAGAGAATCCAAAAATAAGATCAGATGTCATATATTTCTTTTTCTCATAACAAGTAAATCACCTTCCCTGTTTCTAAGTCTCTAATTTTGAGTGACCATTTTATATCCCCTTTCAGATTAGAGGCTAAAGCTACAGAGAAAAAGATACACAAGACAAAACACCCCTCATCTGTACTCCTGTGGCAAGCGATATCCCGGCATGACGATCTTGTCAGCGAACATTTTGCCCGTCTTGGGCATCACATGCCAGTGCAACGTCAAGTTGAATTCTTTACCCCGGAGATTGGTTCCCTACACAAAGATGATTTACGACGAGAGATAGTTACTGATGGATCGAAGAAACTAAGGTAGATCTTAGTCTCCGTTGAAGCCAAGAAACAGATGCAAAGAATGAAAGGGACTACCCGTACCTGATCAATGAAACGGTACTTGTTTGAAGTATGAATCCAAAACTTGGCATGTTCTTTTGTTGGTAAGATACCATCCCAAAGAGAAATCTGTAGAAAAGCGTACAAATATAATCAAAAAACTTATTTAAGCAATACTAAAGACCGTGCAGTCTACATGCCCTAGAGTGGATGTGCGGATCCAAGGAACACGCAGAAGCAAAAAAATGGAAAAACAGTTATTCAGAGAGAGAATTGATAATCTCAATCTTACCTCAAGAAAACAAAAATAAAAACATATAACTAACCAGAAATACAATTGAAGAAAATATAACTCCAAAAAATATATGCAGCTACCTGATTCAGTGAGTTCTTTGGGGTTCCATACTCAGCGGCTAGAAAAACAAAAACCTGTCATTCATTGCAAATAAAGTAAAAGGGATCAACGCCAAGTTTATGAATCATATCTGACATAAACTGGCTGGGAGATAGAAAGAGTAGGAATTTTCAAACTGTGGTATGCACAACTTAAATTTCACTACACCCTCTAAAAGTAATGCACCAGGACAACAAATACGGTATCTCAACGCAAATGAAAGTAGGTTTTGACTTTTGATAGGTGGCTTCTCATCCTATGTGTGATAGTTGCCATTACTCTCTAGAAAATGATTATCATAAGAGTTCCTTAGTGCACCCAAATACTAGTGAAAGCAAGCACAGGAGATACTGAAATAATGTAGATGACCACGAATTCATGCTAACATATACACACAGAAATTTGTCAAATTGCAAACCTGTTTTGTGTTCCATGTAAACAATGACTGCAAGTCTGCTGATATATTCATAGTCATGCTGACCTGCATAAAACGGAAATTATTTTGTTCATATCAAACTGTGATTCATTCGGTACACATAACCTTCCTTTTCCAATCACCCATCTATCATGGCCTCTATAAATCAAAAAAGAAAATCCAAAATTGATGGTAAAAGTATAACTAATGGAAATACAACAACAGTTTAAGAACCTGTCAATGTCAAGTTCTATGAACTGCTGCTAATGTCAAGTTTATTATGACCTTCACCTCTAGTCCTCTAACTTCTTTTACCTGTTTTCCTATTGGTAGAGGAATTACTTAAGTAAATATTGCGAGCTCAGATCGTGCTCTGTAGACATGTAGCTATCAGCTCATGCTCTGTAGACATGTAACTGTCAGTCAATAACTCAGTGGCTGCACCAAATCTCTAGACAAACCCCACACCAACCCAACCCAACCCAACCCAACCCAACCCAACCCAAATCAACCCAAATCAAGAAATCTCAGTACTTCCGAAGTAAATAAAATGTTATACCTTATTTACTTAAAAATTGAAGCCAACCTAGGGTGATAGAATTGTTAGGCATCAATACTATACATTAATATCTTTATCCGGAATTTGGTAATTACGAAAGTTTGCACTGTAAATTGTCACAATCCCAGTCTGTTCTCTTATATTCGTCACAAAACTCAACACCGTTAACTGCCACCTATAACTAGTCAAGATCCCATTTTTGGCTGAGGAGAATTACCCCATTGTTTACAGTGCTGAAGGGCAGTGATCCTACCATTTGATTAGTAATAAACCCAAAAGGCAATGAGCTCGCACCAATATGTCGAAAGAGGTGAATAAGCTCCCAGGATCCTAATACTACCCGTTTTACAATTTACTTTCAACTCATAAAACGAATACCTAGATCAAAGAAACAAATTATGTACTGAAACTAAACCACAAAACCCAGAAATTTCAATGAAACCTCATATCGACACAGCTATACACACATAAATGCATACACATGAAAACTTGATACAAAAAATACAAAAAGCCAAAAGTAGCAATTTTTAAACTGGATTAATCAAATACTATTGACACACTCATTACGATCGAAATTCAGAGAGAACCCATTTCAGCCAATATAAAATTGAATTCAAATTCAAAGAAATTTCACATATAACCGACCAAATTACAAATAAAAGAAACGCACCTCCTCGTTCCCATTTGGTTGCTTCTGAAACCAATTGATGTTCAACACCTAAAACAAAACCCAATAACCAAAAATCAGAAACAAAATCCAACTGGGCACTTGAATTCGAAACCAAAAAATCAAAACTTTTGAAATCCCAGATCTGCCCAATAGACGACGAAGGACCTGGACTTGGGTAGTGGGAGTGGGGTGGTTGAGATTATCGGAGATGGAGGCCATGGCGCACATCAGAGCCAAAATTGTGACTGCGAAGGTCAGCAGAGCATTGGCTCTGTACCCAAACGAATGCATTTTGTTCTCGTTCTGGGTTTTTTTTTTTTTTTTTTCTCCTTGGATTTCTGGTTCTTCTGGTTTTGGTCCGAGAAGAAAGATGGGAAGAAGGGAAAATGTTGAGTGCGTTTTTCGGGGGGTTTTGAAGAAACGAAGACTCGAGAGGGGTTTTTTTCGTTTTGTACTTTGATTGGAATAATAAACACATCGAGAGATAGAGAGAGTGTTGTCACACTTTAGAAATACTGCTCATTCATTGGACAAGACACGTCGGTGGGGCCCATTATTTTTTACTTTTCTTATTGGACAGGAGTAAAATTGGAATTCCGGATCACTGTGTCTGTGGCTAATCGATCATGAGATTTGAATCATTCATTTTAAATTATGCAATCCATATTAGTCTATTAAATTAGTTATCTTAAACAAATTAAGGGTTTAGATCTCTCTTTCTTTCCTTTCAACGACCTGGATTTCCTCTAAACATAGGAATTCGGAAATGATCTCGACTCGTAAATTTGAACTCTAAACTTGGACTTAGAAGTGACTTAGCTAGAATCACTATACAAATAATATGATAATTTAAATAAAAATAAATTTTGCTAATTAGAATTACGATGTATCGTATCTATCTTAACTAATAAATGAGAGGTCTTATTGAACAAAAATTGCTCATTTTTCTTTACATTGTGGGAGAGTGCATGATAATAGTTTTATTTGTATTGAATTGAAGTAAATCAAACCATAAAGCTCATTTTATAATTTGGAAAAATAATTTTTATACACTTATGTTTATTTCTGTAAATTAATTCCTTCTTGAATTTATTCGATTTAAAGATAAAATATAAATATAACTGTTCGTGAAGAGGGAAATGATTTATTTTAAAGAATAACAATATGTGGCTCTTTGGGCTCTTCAAAGTGAAAGCTACTCTTTACTAGCTGAGAAACTATATGGGGTATATTAGCCCAACAACACACTTAGAGCATGCCTAGGCCTGCCAAACACCAGCCCAATCTTCCTAGATCGACCTAGCAATGTTTTGAGAAGCATTTTTTTTTTTTTTTAAGTACATCAATACTTTTTTACATTAAGGGAAAGAGGAGTTCGGTTAAGCCATATAATGTGCAGCTTAATTTGGTATCAAATTCGACATTTACGAGATTCGAACCTAAGACCTCTCACTTCTAAATAAAGAGGAATATCACCAGATCGTAATACTAATTGACATGTTTTGAGAAACACTTAACGTTTATATACCAAAAAAAAAAAAAAGGGGTAACCAAATCTAATCAAATTACCTATCAGATTATGTACTAAAACACACCAATATGAACTGAACAATGAAATCTTAATCAGTTGAATATATATGGAAATCTCAATCCTCAGCATGAACACCGAGATTTTTGTAGTGCAATAATCACTAGCATATAGTGTTACAGATACACTTAGTTTGTTCTTGGTGAACATTGTCATACGTTATGGACCCAGGGCGTAGGGTGTAGTGTTAAACACTACACTGGCGCTATAACTGTTTGTCACACGAGAAAGAGCCTAAGGTATAGTGATAAACAATGTGTGACACTATAACCGTCATCATATAAAAAAAAATATTGTCGTCACACTAGAAAATTGTTATTTCTTTTTATATTGGAACTATATTCTACCCTAATATATACTAGAGAAAGAGAGATTCAAACTTGGGTGTAGAAAAGGGAGTACACTACCCTTCGCAACTTGGCTAATATTCCACGCCGGAAAACTGTTAGAAATTTAAAACTGGAGCTTGAATCCATTTAAGAATATCATTCACGATTGAATTTGAGCTGTTACCAAGAAGAAGACATGAACAAATAGTTAACAGAGCTTTATTTATCCAGTCCCTTAATAAGAGACTCCGCCAAAGCAAAAAAGCTTTACATTTTACTTGGACTTTATTTAACCAACATACATAAACACCCTTATATTATAATCTCTCACAAGGGAGATCACAATTTATGGCTCATCAGTGCACTCAGTAGATTCTTCAGCACCAGTGGAGGATTTGCCAAAGTTGAAGTTGGTACAACTAGTCCTGGGAAGCAAGTAATTGCTAAATCCCAACCTTGAGTTCGTCAGATCAAACTGCAGCAGATTTTCCTCCAACTGCATTGCCCCGATCACGATCGAAGCCTGAGGCTTCAACCCGCCGTCCACAAAACCTAGACACCCTATGAAGGGACGTGGCTGGACGAAAATGTTTGGAGCAGATATCCTCCAGATGATGTTCTGGTTGTTGTCTAGGACAAGGTCTATGCTAGGAAATGCGGCCGTGCTGCTGCCGGTGAATCTCTTTGCATCGAAACACACCCCGAATGGCGCCACGGGTTTCACTTGGGGCAACCCTTGCAGCTGATTGATGTAGAACTGAGTGACTGCCCTAAAGATTGAGGTTTGGAGGATTGTGTAGGGAGTTGTGGTGCTGATCATTGTCCCACCAACCCCTTGTTCTGGTGTGTATGTCAAGAGAGATGTGTTGAGTGGAACAATCTTATTGTTGATTTTGATGGATTGAACGTTTATGTAGTACTCTCCTTGCCTGCCTATGATCAGTGGGGTGTAGGTCAACTTCTGCGACACGTCGATGTTCGGTTTCATGAAATAAGGTCCTTCCCCAAAGAAAACGACGCCACTTCGGTCAGATGAAGGAGGAAGGCACACAGCGAATTTTGGTGGGAAGCCAAAGTGGGAGGCTAGTTGGTAAGGTAGGGAAATTGGGGAATGACCTAGACCAGCAATACCTTGAACGTTTTTGGGTAACCCATTTTGCAATATGTTGGAAGGTGCACACGCAAATAGGAATTGAGGGATTTGGACCATTGGGCCGGGACCTGAGCCTTGGGTTGATGAGATTGTTAGGACATCCTGCGCAAGCTCACCCAAGGCGCTTTGACGCGTCACGGGGTTTGTGGTCATCAGCCCACACGCGTTGGGGTGGCACCCTATTTGGGTTCTAGAGGAGCATGTGCGGCATGTCATCGGGCTATTAGGATTAGCTCTAGCGCACAGCGTCGAGTGGCAAAATGGGGCATTGTAACCCAATGACAAGTATTGGTTCTCACAATTTTCTGTTAAGAACCTCCCATTTAGGTCAATCACAAAGGGGAATTGGACTGGAGGGTTTCTTTTGTAAATTTGGGCCACATGAAGATTGGTTGCATCATCTTTCTGCACCCTGAGGACAAGCTTGTTCGGCCTGATGGGGATTTGGGGTTGGGTTTTGAGTGTCGCCGCAGATATGAAAGCAAGAAGAGAAAAACAAGAGAAGAAAAGGACCAAATTAGGAAGGAAAGAAGCCATGGATGGAAATGGAAACGGACTCTGAGTTCGAACGAAGAAGTTTTGTATACCCAGAGAGGAAGAAACGGTGGGATTGGCGAAGAACGAGGGAGTAGAGAGTACAATTTATAGTGCGGGGGTTACTAAGTTAGGGCAGGCTCTGGAGTGTTATGGACATGCATATGGACATTTAGGGTTTTGGCATTGAGTTATTCTTTGAGAGATTATGGAACTTTTCCGGTTTTGTGACGTTACAAATGTGAGGGTTTCACATGTAAAGTGAAGTAGATGAGCATAAGCCTTGATATGAGAACAAGGTGTCGGAGAGTGTGTAGGGGTACTTGGCAGTGCAGAAGCCTGTACACAGCCATGCAGTAACTTGTGCTGTAACAAGCAAAACAGTGTGACTGGGTTTGGCTTCTACTTGACACCGCCAAATACTGTTGCAGATTGAAACTAAAACAACCCTAATCATTTCTCTTAATTTGGCAGGGGAGCATTGTTAATTGTCTATAAAGCAAGATTAAATATGCATGGCCGAATTAATACGAATTTCGAAGAGGCAAAACCTGTTCATCTTCTGTAACGTTGCAGTGAGATATCATACTGAAAATTTTGGTGCTACGGGACCGTGCTTTCAGGTTGGATCAAAATATGAAACGCTCACAGACCCCATGAGTTGGAAAAATATAAAAAGTTGAGCATTTTTTTAATTAATTCTAATAAGAAAAATTACTGATGCAGGTTGTATATTTTCTCCCTTTATTTTGTTAGATTTGATCAATTAAGATTATTTCAATAAAAATTTACTAATGTTCTGGCTGTTAAACCTATAGGATTGAACGTATTAAACTGGGTAACAATCTGATATAATGTGTTTTGCAAATACTGTTTAGAGAAAAAGGATTTAGGTGAAACGAGTTCACCATCATCATGATGTCCTAACTTACTAATACAAAGTCATGTGGGGAGAGTCTTGCACCTAACCTTGTATTAATGATTAAGAATGTCATGGTCAGTAGCGGATCCAGGATTCTAATATCAGATAGTCCGAGTATAAAAGTTCCAAAAAAAATTTGACGAAAATAACATTAGTAATTTAAAGGATAAATTACCAACTTTCAATCATAATATTTATACAAACAAAATTACAAGTTACAAAAACTAAATTTGTCCACGACGAGGTTCATATACACTGAAAATGTGTCATGACTCATGATAGTCATTGTCAATACAAGAAAAAACATATTGATGATGATTTAGAACTAACCAAATTTGGAGTTGAACAATACGGAATAGGATTGAAACTATTGAAATTGGAGTTGAAATATTTGACAGGATTGTTAGAACTAATTGATGATGATTTTCACTAGTGATGGCCTGAGGATCTATTGGGTGTGGTTAGAGGAAAAAGGGAATTGGAGGAAAGAAAATAGGTTGTATTTAATTTTTTTAATTAAAAGGGTCTCCCTCACGTGGCTTAACAAGATGACTTGCTTTTGATTATTTTGTTTTAAACGGTTTGGCTCAAAACGACGTTGTTTTGGCCAAGTCTTTTAAAAAACAAAATAATCTTTTTCTTCTTTGTTAATCATTTACAAAACCTGCACCCGCCGATTTGTCGATGCACTCTTTTTCTCCACCACATGCCCAAACTTGGTTGGTCCTTAGAGATCTTCACGGTCACTTATTTTCCAGGATGTCACGAGACCACCCGGATCCCTTAATGAATCTGCCAGTAGTTACAATAACACTGAATGAGTTACATGAAAGTCTATTCCTCCCAGAGGCGAGATTCTATACAATTGGCTTAAACTCAATCTTTATCATATACATTA